CCGCGGCGGGACGCCCGCCCGCGGGGGGTCGCAGACGCCAGCGCGGGGCAGCTTGAGTCACCCTGAGTGGGCGCTCGGGTACAGAGCCAAGCCACGCTCTGATGTCCCGTCTCAGCAGGCCGCCGCCCGGGGCCCTCGAGGCCTCCCTCCACTGGCGTTTGTGGAGTCCTCCAAGCCTCCCGGTGCAGACCGGCTCTTTGGGCTGTGGGGGCTAGCGCCTCGATGCCCGCCAACCACGCCCACCCGCTCTGCACCCCAGTCTAAACCTGTAGAACAGGTTGCAGTGAGGATTAAACCATGCCATGGGTTAGGAGCCTAGCACATGAGCGTGTTGTGAATACTGAGTTCCTCTTGATAACTAACGTCTTTCCGCTTCTCCCGACACAGACATCCGCGGCGTGAGGGCTCCCGGGCTCAGTTAGCTTGCTGGATCGGTGAGCGTGGGTCGAAGCTTTCAGGATCTGATAACCAAGGTGTCACAGGTTGGGGAAACCTGAGTCAGAGGGGTGGCTCTTACCAACGTCAGTATCTTGGTTGTGAGAACATACTATAATTCTGTCAGACGTTGCCATTGCGGGGAACTGGGCGAAGGGTACAAGGGAGTTCTGTTTGTTTTTGAGATTTATTTATTTATGCATATAGAACGGGGGTACAGGCCGGAGGTGCAGGGGGTGAGAGGATTCACCAGAGACAGAGTAGAACAGGGAGCAGAACAGGCAGGGTAAGTACATTGCTGAGGGGAGCAGTGGGCGGGACAGGAGAGGTCTGCTGCGCGCCATGTTGCGCCACGTTACGCCATGTTGCGCCATGTCGCGTCATGTTGCGCCATGTTACGCCATGTTGCGCCATGTCGCGTCATGTTGCGTCATGTTGCGCCATGTTGCGTCATGTTGCGCCATGTTGCGCCACGTGGATCAGTTCCCGGGGGCGGGAATCTAACTCACGCTGAAGTGGCTTTAGCTTCTTAGTGCTGTGCTTTTAGTTACCACAAGGCTCGGGGAGAGAGGCCTCTTCCTGTGCTTTGCGAGAGGAGAGTCGTGTGTCCCGGTGTCCGTAGCAGCTGCAAGAGCGAAGTGGCGGGTCTGCAAGCTTTCCGCTGCGCGCATGACTGTACCCGCCATGCCGCTGCCCGTTGCACTGCAGACTCGCTTAGCCAAGAGAGGTATCCTCAAACATCTGGAGCCGGAGCCAGAGGAAGAGATCATTGCTGAGGACTATGACTATGACCCTGTGGACTATGAGGCCACCCGGCTGGAGGGCCTGCCGCCCAGCTGGTACAAGGTGTTCGACCCTTCCTGCGGGCTCCCTTACTACTGGGATGTGGACACAGACCTCGTGTCCTGGCTCTCCCCACATGACCCCAACTCCGTCGTTACCAAATCTGCCAAGAAGCTCAGGATCAATAACGCAGATGCTGAGGAGAAGTCAGGTAGGAGCCCCGAGAGGTCGGACCGGGACCACGAGAAGTCGGACAGAGACCCAGAGCGTGGCTATGATAAAGTGGACGGAGAGAGAGCGGGGGACCCAGACCGCGACCGGGGTTATGACAGGGCAGATCGGGAAGAGGCCAAGGAGTGGCGCCACCACCGCCGGGAGGAGCGGGCCCCCTACCCCAAGAGCAAGAAGGCCGCGGGCCGGAAGGATGATGGGCTAGACCCCATGGACCCCAGCTCATACTCGGATGCACCCTGGGGCGCATGGTCCACAGGACTCCCCAAGCGGAACGAAGCCAAGACGGGCGCCGACACTACAGCAGCAGGGCCCCTGTTCCAGCAGCGCCCCTACCCGCCCCCGGGGGCTGTGCTCCGGGCCAGCGCCGAGGCCTCCAGAACCAAGCCGCAGGACTGAGCCTTCACGCGCCACTCCGTCCCTTGGTTTTCATTAAAAACTCTGTCAGGGGATTATGTCCACTGAGGCTTGGAAAAAAAAAAAAAAAAAAAAGGGAGGGCCTCTGTGATAAATGCAGGAGGACCCTCCCTGGTGGAGCAAGGGGTTCAGTGCAGCACTAACAAGTTATCTGCAGCCGCTTCAGCACAAGTTTGATTCTCTGCCAGGGGCTGACCCACATGGGGCCACAGACCTCTCCTGTCTCACCCGCTGCACCCCTCAGCAGTGCGTTTCAGTACATCTGCCTGTTCTGCTCCCCACTGTCTGGTGAATCCTCTCAACCTCCCCCCCACAACCCCGTCTGTACCCCAGTTCTTATATGCATGAATAAAATAGATCTTTTAAAACAAAAACAACTCATGTGAATCTATAATATACACACAATGTAGGTGGGTGCAGACCTAAATACCTGTCTATATATATAGGTTTGTACCAGATCCTCCTCTCCAAAATCACATGTAAGTGGGGAAACTCCAAACTTTACAGGTAGTGGAAGTCACCCAAGAACAAAAGTTATGGCAGCTGAACCAAGTGAGGCCCCTGGGTCCTGGCTGTTGCTGGAGATACAGGGATGGTCTGGGTCATGTACTCTTGCTAGGGAAGCCTTTGGAGCAAGTGTGAGGTGCTGAGAGCTAGGCCCTGCTAGCCAGATGCAGCTGAGGGGGTGGGGCACTTGGTCTGGCCTAGGCTTGGATTCATCAGGTCTTTTCAGAGGAGGCCGGGCAGGGGCAGTTCTGGTGCAGACCCGGACTCAGCTGGGAACCAGAGTGCAGGTGGACACTGATCTCTTGCGTCCAAACACCACCATCTGACTGGTGGGGAGCCAGAGTGAGGAGGAAAGAAATGAGAGAAATACCTGGGTTTGGATGTCCCAGATAAATGTTCTGGGAGTTTCCAGGCTTTGGAGTCTGGATGACAGGAAGACCACCCATGGAGGCTTCGATCAGCCCTGCAGGCAGAGGAAGGAGGCCACCTTTGCAGGCAAGGCTTGCCTGGCCTTGCATGGAACAGAGGTCTAGTGATAGATTTTAGAACACTGTGTACCCGCAGACCCAGATTTTGTCCCCATGCTCAGCACTTCTGACCATTTATCTTGAGGGTTCTGTAGTGGCAGGCCTAGAGGTCAAGTTAGCAACAGCCAGTCTGTGGACAGGGCTGGTCTCACGGTCAGAGGCTCAGCACGTTTCACTTCTCTTACAGAAGATCTTTGTGCGCTGGGCAGGCTAGTGGGATGTCCCTGCCTGTAGGCTGAGGCCCTGAGCCGTGTGATGACTTCCCAAGGGCCTTGGAATGAACAGCAAGGGCAAGGCAAGATGGATGCCAGGTGGGCCTCTCTTCTCTGCAGACTGCTGCTCCCGGGCTGCGCTTGAAGCCCAGTTTGTGCCTGTGATGAAGCTTGAGATGCTGTGAGGAGGGTCCCAAGCCCGACCAGCCCCAGCTGCATTTTTCTTTTAAAGATTTATTTATGGGCCTCCCCTGGTGGTGCAGTGGGTTAAAGCGAAGCGCTGCAAAGCTATCCGTAGCCACTGCAACTCGAGTTTGATCCCCAGCCAGGAAGCTGACCCACATGGCACAGCAGACCTCTCTTGACACGCCTGCTGCTCCCCTCAGCAGTGTATTTCATTCGGTCTGCCTGATCTGCTCCCCATTCTGTCTTTGGTGAATCGTCTCACCCTCCACACCTCTGGTCTATACGCTAGTTCTTGTATGCATAAATAAATAAATCTTTTAAAAAAGTATTATTTATTTATGTATGGAACTGGGGTTCAGGCCCCAGAGGTGGGTGAGTGTGTGGAGGGTGAGGGTTCATCAGAGACAGAGTAGAGAGCAGAACAGGCAGATTGAGTGAAATACACTGCTGAGGGGAGCAGCAGGTGGGTCAAGAGAGGTCTGCTGTGCCATATGGGTCAGCTCCCTGGCTGGGGATCAAACTCAGGCCCAGTAGTGATGGTAGGGCTGATATTTAACTCCTAGGCCACCAGGGAGGCTCCCCAAGCTGCATTCTTCATTTAGTTGCCTCGTCAAGTTTTGACTGTCCCCTTCCCTACACTGCCGTGGTTAGTACCTGGGCATGTCCACTAAGACCTTCCTCAACCCGTGTCTCCCTGCTCTGGATACACCTAACAAATCATATAAGCAATATTTCTGATAATAATTTGGAAAGATCAAATGATTAACCAGTAATGTAGAATTCATTCCAGAGTTAAGGTCAAAGAGTTAAGAATATCAAATATCTTGCTGCTGACAAAGTAACATTCATAATGTGTGGTGTTCATTAAAAAGGGGGAATTGTAAAAAATACTGCAGCATTCAAAGGGCAGGGGAATATTTCAGTGTGACCTATGAGGTAGAGGATGCACCAGCATTTAAAACTGACCGAGGAGTTAGACCTGGCAGTGGACATTACAACAATTATAACTGTATTCCTAAATTCAAATAGTTAAGGAGAGATAGGAAGATTAAAAAAAAACATTTGTTTATTTATGCATACAAGAAATGGGGGTGGTGGTGAGAGGATTCATGAGAGACAGAGTGGGGAGCAGAACAGGCAAATGGCCTGAAATACATTGCTGAGGGGAGCAGCGGGCGGGTCAGGAGAGGTCTGCTATTCCCCTGGCTGAGGATCGAACTCGTACTGCAGTGGCTGCAATAGCTTCACAGTGCTGTGTTTTAACCCACTGTGCCACCAGTGAGAGCCCTGGAAGATATTTTTAAGAATTGAATAAATGCAGACTATAATATCAAAGAGGAGATTTAATGGGAGATTATTTGTAGAAGCAAAGATTGGTAAACATGAAGGGGATAGCAACAGAAACCAACCAG